TTTGGATTCTCTTTGATTTTGTATCACCTGAATTCTCATTTCTATCCTTTCATTTTCCTCTTTGAGTTTCTAATGAAAATGTGAAGGAATTTATGGGATTAAAATGATTTAATTACCTCTTTGACTCTTCATTTTACTGCCTACCTAATTCAAAATCAATCAAGAAAAGAAGGTCTTTCACTTTTCACCTATTAATACCTGTTCTTGAACTTCAAAAATTAAAGTTAAAGGTAATGATTAGAAAATATTCTTTTTACATCCCTGTTGTAATACATATCGATTTTGATATTTGTGAACACCATTATATTATTTGGGGGCAAACCCTAGGGAAGAAGGGGTATACTGTTCGTAATTTTATGGACTGGAAGATACCTAGCATATATGCCAAAATGGTTGATCCATACTAAGAAACCAATGAATATTTATCTAGTGAATTTTAAAATGTTATATATAGTAGGTCATTATAAAACAGATACTACTCATTTTTAGCTTAATTTCAGAAAAGATCTGTGATTAGTTTCTAGTAAAAGTCTAGATGTTACTTTCTTAATGTGAATAATAGCACAGGCCCTGTGATACCTGAGGTAAATCTCTTCTGAAAGTGTGGCCTAAGAAGCCAGGCAGATACTAAACAGATGTGCTTCTAGGGGTGAGGTCAGTGAGTCCAGTTAAAGTTTAAAAATGATGGTGGTATAAAGAGCACTTAATTCTGTGCTGCATATTGAGAGGAGTTTCAGTTACTCATTTCACTTCATTATCTGATGCTCCATTCTTGTAGTGGATATGATATTCTATCATAGAAGATGGAATAAAGTTTGAGTCTTGTCTTATGACCACTCTTTAACAAAGGCTCTCTAAGATGTAAATAGAAATTTGTTGAGAAACAATAAAATCGCCTTCTAACGATTTTTATCCCCTTAGAAAATCTATGTCTGATGACTAAGTTTCTAGATAGGTAGCAGTGTTACTAGTTCGTTAATTTTGGTCATTTTTTAAACTTTTCCTATCACTTAAAATAACTTATATAATTATTTGAATAAAGGAGTTGATTTCCCTTTAGATGCAGTTTATGTTTATGGACTTCAATCAAACACACTAATATCACATCTAGAACTTAATGTTATCTCCAAGTCCTAAAAACAAGTTTAAAATTTTCCTGTTAAAGTTTGGAAGATTAAAAGTGAGAGACAGCTCAGTGAGCCTAGGGGACAGCAGTGGTAAGGTCTGGTGGTGTAGCCTGCAGAGTCAGGACTCTCTAGGGCTGTTGTTTAGGCGGGCCCTTTAGGAACTGGCCCTTAGCTTTTAGATTTTTCATAGGTTTTTGGTTTTGTAGCTTTTCCTAGAGGTGGTCAGTATCTCAGGAATATCATGGGAATTAATTATACTGGTCAAATCTCAGGAGACAAATGTGTAAGCCAGAATGACAGTTCTTTGATAAATATTGTTAAGGAAACTAGATATTGAAAAAATTATTAAACAGGATATTTAAATTTACTGATCAGCTCAATAAACTCAGAATTAAAATACTGATTTCTTAATAGGTATGATTTAATGAGCAATTCCTCTGTGCCAGGCATTGCAATAGTACCTTGACTTTCTGCTCAATTTTTGTTATCTCATAAATACTTAGAACATACTGCATGGTTGGATTATTATTATTCTTCTGATTTTTAGTTTTGAAAATTGAGGCTCAGTTTGTTGAAGTGATTAATCAGAACTGTAGTAAGTGGAAGAAGATAGGTCTTCCTAACTTTGAATGTTCCTTATTTCTTGTCTGAAATGAGAAGATTAAGCATGGAATCAGAGTGGGTTCAGTAGTGGGAGTGAGAAGGAGATTATTGGATGATCTTAATACTTTGAATGACAGCTAAACAACTCCACCTCCACAGTGAGCACCTACTCAGATTTCTGAGCTAATGTGCAAGGAGCCCTTCAGTCCTGTTTGCTGGAGGCACACTGCCAAGTCTGTGCTCTTGAACGTTACCTTTTTTACAGATCATCCCCATTCGTTCAACACATACTGTTTTTCAGGCAAGTGTCTAATATGCCTCTTTAGATGTTAGCTCTCATAGCTGTGATCACAGTTTCATTAGGATTTTCAAAAGTTTTGAGTTGTAGTTAGGAAAGTTAAATCCTAGCCAATTGAGTTTCTGGCACTGTCCCATCATTATCACTTCAGGCAAGTCAGTGAGCATCTTGATTTCCACATTGGTTAAATTAATTATCTGTATCTAGCAATTTTCTAATAGAGGGGCTGGCACTTTTTCAGTAAAGAGCCCCATTGTAATATTTTAGGTTTTACAGGCAAGAGGCAAAATGGGAGGTATATTATATAGGTACTTACGTAAGTAAGAGAGAAGACTCTTATCTCCAACCTTTTTGCCTGGTGTGAGGTCATCACATTCTGTGGGCATGTTTTGTGCTCTGTTGCCATCAGCTGGAGACATTTTGGGGACAAAGAAGGAAGGGGCCTGGCCGGGTGACTACCGTGGTCAGTTTCACTCTTTGTCACAGTGACATTCAAGTTTCTGTGCATTCTTCTTTCCTCCTGGACAACTCAGCTGTCCCAACAAATTTCAAAGGATTGCCAGTATACAGACCACACCCTGTGACTTCTAGCAACTCCCTCCGCACCGCCCCTCCCCCCCCCGAAATCTCCAAATTTAAATCTCCAAATTTAAAAATTCCATGAGTTGGAAATTAAAGAATTCTAAAATAGCTTAGGGGCCAAAGAAGAAATCAAAACAGAAATTAGAACTGGACTAAGTAACTACTTCCGAGATAGAAGAGCAAATGATAGAATGGAAAGGTACTATAATTCAGTTCAGTAAAAGGCAAAAATGAAGGGTGCCTGGGTGGCTCAGTTGGTTGAGCATCTAGTTTTGGATCGTGGCTCAGGTGATGATCTTGGGGTCCTGGGATTGAGCCCAGCTTCAGGCTCTGAGCTCAGCACGGAGTCCACTTGGAGATTCTCTCTCTCTGCCCCTCCCTCCATTCATGTGCACACACATGCACTGTCTCTCTTTCTCTTTCTGTCTCAAATAAATCTTTTTCAAAAAGGTAAGAAAGACACATAAAGAAAAACAAACAGGTTGACATAATGATAGAAATAAAATTTTAGAATATCATTGTAATAAAAGCAAGTAGAGCATATAGTCTAACTTAAAAGGTAAAGATTGTCAGACTGGCATGTATACATGTTGTTTACATGAGAACTGTCTAAAGCTAAGAAAATAAGATGTTGAAAAAGGAAAAAGATTATCACTTAAGAGATTGTTGATACAGGTATATTAATATTAGAAAAAATACACTGTAAGGCAAAGGCGTTACTGAAGAAAGCAATCATTGGATAGTAATGACAAGGTTTAATTTATCAGCAAAACAGTGGTTTTTAAGTGCAAGCGCTTAATAACAGGTTCAAAAATATAAAGCAAAACCTAACAACTACAAAAAGAAAAGGACAGACTCTTCATAATGGGAGAATTTTAATGCCTTTTGTCAATTTTGATAGATGAAAGATAAAAACTGGAGATTGTAAGATTTCAACCCTACAAATAAGCTTGTTCTAATAGACCTGTAAAACAGTGTACAACAGCTACAGAATGATTAACTCTTTTCAACACACACATCTATAAAAAACGTTTCAAGGCATAACCTAATTTGTGATACTGAGTTAGAAATTAAAGTCTTAGCTTTTTGAATGCAGAGCTTCATATTTTGATGTATTAACACAAAATGTTTTTCTAATTAGCAAAAATGCTTCGTATTTGCTAAATATAGAATTTTCTGTATATAAAATACTGTGAAATCTACCATCTGTTCATTTTTTAATTTGTTAATAAAGTAATGACAGCTGACTGAACACTGCATAACACTTTTAATGGGAGACAGAATGGAGTCTGTGTAGTGTATTAGGATGAGCAGGGACTCTAGATTTGAAATCTTGCTAAGCCACCTACCAGCTCTAGGATCTGGAGAAAGTTATTTAACACCTTTAAGGGTCATCTATAAAGTGAGTGTAATAATGTCCACCTCCTAAGGTTTTGAGGAATAAATGAGATACTCTATCGAGTACTTGGTACCAAGCAAATCATTACTGCTATTATTGTTTTTAATCACTTACCTAATGTTTATTGAGCATCTGCAAAGTATTTGTCTCAAATTAAGTGAGTATTTTTAATTCTTAAGACTTGTGATTAGGTATTACAGATTTAAAAACTCTTATCTCAAATACTGCCACAAAGCAAGTTTCCTTATCTTTTCTTGTTGCCATTGCTGACCTCTTCTGTTACCTAGCAGATGAGACTAAGAAATTGGGGGAGGCGGGGAGCAGTGGGGCAAGATATTGGGAAAAGAGAATGGGCTGCTCAAAGAATTCCAGGTCTTGAATCAACTTTCTTTCTTGGATATTAGCATCCATAATATTTTTGTTGGGCTTATGAATGTGAAGTTATCTTGTATTTTGATTGGACCTACTAAAATACACTTTTAGTTTTGCCAGTATTAATCCTTTTGGTGTTTTCCTGACTACCCAATTGGTGATCAAGACTAAGCCCAGATCTGAAAGGTGTATTTATCTCTTATCTAACCAATTACCCAACTCTGAAAAAGGCCCACATCCACATTTTAACTGCTCAATTCTCAAGAGAGTACAGATTTGATATTCTGAGGTGTCAAGATAGGGACTCCATAAAATTCTGAGTACAGAAGGAATGTGCTTTATTTGTAGTTTTTAAAAATTAGCAATCGTGTGAGTCATTAATGAAGCAGCAAAGCTGTCTCTAGTGGAATCCTTAAAGACTGATTGATAGGTTAACCAGAACTTTAAGCATATGGTACAAATTTATGTATGCCAATTTCAAAGTTATATTCTTTGTAGTTATTCTTGTGAATTCAGTTAAGTATCTCTATCAAAGGAACTACATATAAAAATGTTTTAGAAATGAGGGTATCATGTAATCTCATCAAAACAGCTCATAAAAATGTTTTCTTATTGTTAGATTACCTCTCTAGTGACCCTTCAGCTATTAACCCTGGTTGGCCATGATGATCAGCTTGATGGACCAAAGTACAAATGCACAGTATCTCTAGATTTCATCAGAGCCATTGCTAGGTAAGCAGAGAATAATCATTAATGTAAAATGTCTTGAATTATGTAAATGATATACTAAATATAAAAATTAATGTTCTTCCTAATGTAATGTCATTAGTCAGTTAAGCAAGAGAAGATCATTTAAATGCCAAGAATGAATAAGTTTCACTGTAGTATGAACCCTCTCATCAATTTACAAATGACATAAAACAGGGAGAAGTAGCTAATATGTTAGATGGCAAAAACGAAGATTCTGAAAGACCTTAAAAGACTGGGATAATGATCCCATGAAGCAAGGTAGGATTTAATGGACAGTTGACTACAAAAAACTCAAATGTCCTAAACAAGGTGGGAGAGACCTGGCTTAAGTCCTAAGATTTTAATGCTCCTGGTGTCTCATTCAGGGGATATAATAGGTCTGCTCTGTGTTCCCATAGGCAGAACAAATCTGGTGTGCTGTTCTGTGCTTGGCATTTTAAAGGGGGCATTGACAGATGGGCACATGCCAAGAAGGGGCAAGAGGAGAATGGTAGAATGAAGAATCATGTCACCTCCCTGACTGAGGGACAGGGTATGAGAGTTAAGTCCTAGGGAGGATACAGTAACCATCTCAAGTATTTCAGGGGCTTTCATGTACAAAGTGGATGAGATTACTTCTGAGTAATTCTAGAACATTAGAAGTTCTAGGGAAAAAATTATGTCTGTCAAAATGAGAGCTATCTAAAATGTAATGAGTTTCCTCACAGAGAGGTCTACTTACTGTTATGAAAAATGTTCCAGCCATTTATATGAATAAATGACCTCATCTCATGGTTGCAGCTGGATAGCAGTCTGTTAGACCATGTAGTAGAAGAGGCAATGTGCATGTAGAATAGTGGGTGGAACAAGACAGTCCGTAAGACAGTGCTTTCCCAACCCTTTTAAATAACGAAGACTCAATTTTAATATTCTTCAAAATTAATACTGAAAATATTTACATGTATTTCAAAATTATAAGCATGAAACATTATTTATTCAGGCTAAAAATAGTGGTTGACATGTTATGGATTTGCAGATCTCTTCAAATGAAGTTGATAGCTTCCTAACATTCTAAAGTCCACAGGTTGGTGTCCTCTGCCCTGATGTCTCCTTTGCAGAGGAAAAGGTTCTGTGATACTATGATGGAGGTATTTGAGATATTTTGATGCCATGTAGACTCTAAAACTTGAAATGAGGGTTTTAAAATGTGTTGTCATGGCAAAACTGGGCAAACTTTTGCCCAGAAGAAGTTGAACAGAATCTTGGGGTGTATTCAGTGTGACCGTAAGGCAGTACCTTTGTTTTTCTAAACAATGATTTTAAAAACTCTGTATGCACAAGCCTCTGTCGAAGACATAACTTTTGAATGAAGCGTATTTATTTCAGGGATTTTGTCTGAATGTTGGGTTGTGTCCCAACATAAACATGTACAAGACAGAGGCTTATGAATCCCCAGTATGATGAATATACAGTGAACCAAACAGGAACTTGATTCGTAGCCATCAGTTATACTAAACACACCCAGAGAAGTGTGCTTCCATTGACCACCTAAGAAGGGAGCAGGACTTACAGACCTGGGATCCTGTCATAGAACCTGGGATCTCTGTAACTTGCTTTGTTATTTTATTTTCTCTTCTTTGCCTTCCTTGGGCAGTGTCCAAAGAATAACCACCTCCCTCCTCCCACATATTCCCTCTTCCACTTCCTCATCCCCATGATATTTTGTGTTCTTTTTCTGCTCATAAAACCTTCCGTTCTTTCTTTCTCTCCCTCCCATATCCTGCTGTCTTCTAATATTCCTCGTTGCCTTAATGAAAGCCTGATTCTTATGTGGGGATACTCCTTCCCCTGGAGTTACCTCTAATGGTAGCTACTTATTTTCTCATGCACTAAGCTCTCATGGTTGGGTGCTCCTTAAGTGCCACCCTTCTTTCTTGTCGCCACTTCCAGATTGCCACTGCCCCCAAGTTATTGTACAAACGTGGACTTCTTTGGGCCTTGTGCAGTCTGGCTCTGTTTCTACATTTTCCTTATACTTGATTATCTTCTACCAGCCTCCCACCCATCCCACCTCATGTATTGAAGAATAGAGCACATGGTTCACAGCGTTCTTTTTAACCTAGATTCTTGACTCTTTTCCAGTTTACTCTGTTCAGCATTCACCTGTTTTACAGAACGAAATTGTAACCATCAGTTGAGAACTCCTTCAGTTACCTACATTGGTGTTCATCTTCTCTCTTTACTTTTTCAGTAGGTGGGGGGGGGGTTCTCTTCCACCTGTTGATCTGAATTTTATCTCCTCCATCTTTCCCAAAAGGTTTTTGAAATGTTCTCAGGCTGTTTGTCTTCTCAGTGGCATCTAACACTGATGATCACTCTCCTTAAAATGCTTTTCTTAAAGCCATGATTCCAGTCTTCTGAATTTCCCCTTTATTCTTTAGCTATTTTTTCTAAGATTGTTTGGCCAGTTTTTCCTTTCCACCTGACCTTTAAATGTAGCTGGTCCTTGAGACCTGGCTCTTTTTCTCTGTTCCTATTGTACTTCTCCCCTAGGCAGTTTTAGCTATACCCATGACTTAAACAACCATCTCCATATTAATAACTCCTCAGTTTTTAAAGGCCAGACCTTTAATTCTAATATTCTTGACCTTTATTAGATGTTTTTCAGCTAAATCAATACATTTCCAAAACTGAACTCTGGAATTCTAACCTCGACTTCTGCCTGCTAACAAAAAAATAATGATTCAGCTTTCCTCTCCTGTTGCCTATTTCAGTGGTTAACACTGCAGTCTGCCATGTCGTACAGGCCTCAGACCTGGGAGTCATTCTTCACATTTCTCTCTCCCACACTTGCAGTGTCCAAGCATTAGTCCTGTTGACTACAAAGTCCCTCCTGTAGATCTCAAATTCATTCACTTTTTACTTTTACTTTGTACTGTTACCTCTCTAGACCAGGCCACCACCATCTCTTCTCTAGTAGCCTCCTGACTTGTCTTCTGTCCGCTCTTACCCTTTGTAACTTGTCCACACTACAGCCAGAATGATCTTATACAAATTTAATGGCACCCTCCTACTTAAAAGTCTGCAATATATCTTTCTGAGTTAGTGTTTCCGTTTTTTGGGGTACATACAGAATAGTGAAATTACTGGATCATACGGTATTTCTATTTTTAATTTTTTGAGGCACCTCTGTACTGTTTTCCACAGGGGCTATACCAACTTATATTCCCACCAGCAGTACACGATGGTTCTCTTTTCTCCCCATCTTCACCAACACTTGTTATTTCTTGTATTTTTGATACTAGCCATTCTGACTGGTGTGAGGAGATAATCTCATTGTGGTTTTGATGTGCATTTCTCTGATGATTCAATGATGATGACTGAGTATCTTTTCTTTGCAGAAGTGTCTCTTCATGTCCTCTGTTAATTTTTAAATTTCTTTTAATCCTCTTTTTTAATTGGATTGGATTTTTTGTGTGTGTGTAATGTTGAGTGGTGTAGGTTCTTTATATATTTGGATATTAACTCCTTATGAAAAAAAGCCTCCACTAATTTGAAAAGATATATGCACCTCTATGTTTATTGCAGCATTATTTTCAATAGCCAAGATATGGAAGGAACCCACATGTCTTTTGGTAGATGAATGGATAAAGATGCGGTACATATATGCAATGGACTATTAGTCATATAAAAGGGATGAGATCTTGCTATTTGCAACAAGGTGGGAGGATCTAGAAGATACCATGCTAAGGGAAGTAAGTCAGGCTGAGAAAGACAAATCCCATATGATTTCACTTATATGTAGAATCTAAAAAACAAATTCTTTAAATGCAGACAACAAATTCGTGGTTGCCAGAGGAGAAATAGGTGGGGAGATAGGTGAAATAGATAAAGGGGATTAAAAAGTACAAACTTCCAGTTACAAAATAAATAATTCATGGAGATGAAAAATACAGAATAAGAAATGTAGTCAGTAAGATTGGGGTAATGTTGTTTGGTGACAGATGGTGACTACACTTACTGTGTGAGCCCTGACTAATGTATGGAACTGTGGAATCGATATGTTGATGTTTTGCTCCTGAAAATAATATAACATTATACGTCCATTATACACCCCCCCAAAAAAAAAGTCTTTAGTAGTTTCCTATGACTCTTGGGATTAAAAAAAAAACAACAAAAATCTTTAATGTAGCTTACAAGGCCCCAGTGATCTGGCCTCTGCCATATCATTATGTTGCCCAGCCACATCTGGTACACACACTGCTTCCCTAGGTATTTGCATTTTAACTTGCTGGCTGTTTTTATTTCTTCATATTCACCATTCTGCTTCCCATCTTTGTAAATGCAGCACTTTCCATCACCTCCTCTCCTTTATCTAGCTAACCACCGCATAACCTATACATTTCAATTTAAATGAAAAAGAAGCATTCCTAAACATACCATGACCACCATCATCCCCCCACTCTAATCACAGTATACAGGTATACAAGTATACAGGTCTCATTGTTATCCTCTGATACTTATCATAGTTTTAATTACTTAATAATTAGAGTTCATCTTTCTGCAGTGAAGTCTGTGAAGCTCAAAACAGAGACTGTATTTGTGCCAATTACTGCCTTAACTAAACTTAAACAATGCTTTAAACTTAGTATATGCTAAATATATAAATAGTTCATGTTTTCCTATAGCGATTAGCAGTAAAACTTCAGATGACGGGGAACCATTGTGAGCTTGTCTTTTGGGGCAGCAACAAGAAGGGAGCTAAGGAGACAGAGTTTCATTCCAAATAAAGGTGTGGTGGAGATAAGAGATTGCAAGGATACTTAGCAAAGAAGAGGTAGGTATGTCTAGTTCCAGACTCCTGTGGTAGAGAATGAATGATCAGATCACAGGACACAGCCTAAATGTCCAAAACAGGAGAATGGATCAATAATTTATTGTACATTCTAATTTAAAAAAACGCTACACAGTTATTAAAAATCATACTTTGGAAGGATAAAAAG